TTTTGTAAGTTTATTTTGATCATTTTATTATTGTTTAAACAGAAATGTATATTGCTTGAATATATGTGTATAAATTGCTTTTTATTGATACATAGTAGACATACACCAATCTTGGAAATTCATGTTCTAATTCCTAATAGTTTTCTCAAACCATATTTGATACAACAGTATAATTTAAAATGAAACTGTGGAAGGTTATCTGCATGGAGTTAGCCAGTAATCCCCCCCTGCACCAATCTAATGGCAGGGATATCAGCAAACCATTTAATTATTGCAGAGAGTCAAAACTAGTAATGAGCTGGGTTGACTGCCATTTGAATAAAAAATAGGGAAGCAGGAGCAGGATGAGATGGAAAGCAGGAGCAGGATTAGACAGGAAGCAGGAGCAGGATGAGACAGAAAGCAGGAGCAGGATGAGAAGGGAAGCAGGAGCAAGATGAGACAGGAAGCAGGAGCAGGATGAGAAGGGAAGCAGGAGGAGGACCAGAGTGGAAGTTGAAGTGAGACTGTACAAGACTGTCAGCAGCAGGACAGGACTAGAAAACAGAACTTTCATGTCAGAACAGAGCGTGGCTGAGAGCAGCCCAATAACCAAGATCTGACCAACAGTGCTCCAGGGTTTAGATTCTGTGCTCATTAATGTTAATGAGTGGCAGATAGCTGGGAGAGCCTGCTGATCTGCTGCCAGTAGTAATAATAATAATTCCTTACATGTATATACTGTAGCACTTTTCTCAACACTCCACTCAAGTACTTTACAGGTTATGGAGATCCCCTCCACCAACACCAAGGTGTAGCATCTACCTGTATCGATAGTAGTGGGCCGGGTTGAGCTCCTCTTGTGTATGTGGCTGGTCTCAGAGAAGACTGGTGCTGAGTGCTCTGACCTGCCCAGGACTAACTGTTCTGTATCCTTATCATAATTCAATTTGATTTCTAATTCAGCATTTTTCCTAAAATAGGATTTATGTGACTGTGAGGCAAATACAGCAGAATTATTATTATGAAGCCTTTGACTGAGGGACATAGAAAGCAGAGGCTGTCAACCTCAACTAAATAAAATAAATTCATCCAATTCAACAAGGACCAGCAAGTGAAGCAGTTTTGTGGTCTTAAAATACCAACATGATGATTTATCTGATAAAGACATCTGCAGGAACTGTGGTACTGATTTGCAACATGGTTTGCATCTCTGCTTATAAACAGTGGCTATAAAAAGAACTGACACTTGTTGTGCTGATCAGTGCTAAGAATTCCAGAATAAATACATGTTGAATCCAATGATGTCAGTACATTTAATGTGAAAATGCCAAAGGGAGTGAATACTTTTTATAACCTTTGTATTATATCACAATATAAATGAAGAATATAATCAATATGTTGGTTCTATTCTTTAAACTCTGGTGGACTTTATAAGTCCACCAGAGTTTAAAGTCGCTTTATGGGAGTTTTATGGTCCACCTGACCATAAAATGTTGACCCTTTTATTTGCCGAGGGAGTTTTCCGCCACTATTATCACAACCGTTTACATTCAACCTCAAGCCTGCGTGGAAGCAGCACATAGCGAACTCCACGACATTATCAACAAGCACGAAAACTCCGACCCAGAAGCCGTCTCAATTGTAGTTGGGGACTTCAGCCACTGCAATCTGAGGAAAGTTCTGCAAAAATACATTCAGCATGTCACTGTACCGACAAGAGGAGGCAATATTTTAGACCACTCCTACACAACAATAAAAGGAGCATACAAAGCGCTTCCCAAACCGAGTTTCGGTAAGTCGGACCACATTGCTCTCCTGTTGCTTCCTGAGTACAAACAGAAGCTGA